CCAACTTGAGATTGGGTTCCATCAGGTACTGAACGAACTCAGGGATCTCAAGGTGGTCATCTCTAACCTCGCCTCCCAACAACAATCCGGCGAGACCAGGCATCCAACAGGGGCCGATGCCTCTGTTTCCAGTAGCCAGGGAACTGGGGGTTACCCCGCCGAAAAGGTTACTAAAATCAATTTTCCCAACTATTCCGGTGGAGATCCCATTCCTTGAATTTTTAAAGCAGAGAGATTCTTCGAGTATCATGAAACCCTTGCACACCAGCGTGTCACCATCGCTTCCATTCACCTAGAAGGAAACGCTATTCTCTGGCTCCAGTGGTATCGACAAACCCATCCTCATGTAACTTGGGCGGAGTTCAYAGAAGCTCTGTGCATCCGTTTTGGGCCGACGGCGTTCGTGGATTACGATRAACTCCTCACTCGACTAAAACAGACCAGGACGGTAGCAGACTACCAGCTCGAGTTCGAAAGAATGGCGACCAGGGTACATGGATGGCCGGAGAAGGCCTTGGTAGGGTGTTTCGTGGGAGGTCTCAAAGAAAACATCTGCTTGGAAGTGAGAGCTCTTCGACCAGCGACAGTCATGGCGGCGGTGGATATGGCTCGCCTGCAAGAAGAGAAGATGGATAGCATSCGCAGAACCAGCAAGCCTTCCTACCCGAATGTAAGGGCTCCCCAGCGGACCGAACAGCAACCCATGAAACAAGTTGGGGATTCTCAGAAGCCCATTCTGCCCAGGCCCACTATGCCCTTCAAGCACCTCTTGTGGGCTGAGATGCAGGCCCGACGCAAGAAGGGCCTCTGTTACAATTGTGATGACAAGTTTGGATCGGGCCATAAGTGTCGAGTCCAGCGAGTGTTTCTCCTTCAGACAGAGGAAGAACTAGAAGAAAACGTAGAAGACTGTGAACTGATCTCAGTTGAACCAGAACCGGTGGGAGCCGAGATCTCCTTACACGCCCTCATGGGCCTCAACCMTCTTCAGTCCATGCGAGTAGAAGGAAGGTTGGTGGGCCAATCTGTGATGATCTTGATTGATAGTGGCTCTACCCTGAATTTCATCACTTGCCAATTAGCAAGGCAACTAGGTATGTCTATACAACCCACTCCACTCTTTTCAATCTATGTGGCTAATGGAAGTCAGTTGACATGTGATGGTGTGTGCAAGAAGGAAAAAATCCTTATACAAGGCCACTATTTCGTGGTAGATCTCCACCCATTGGATTTCTCAGGGGCTGATATTATTCTGGGAATTCACTGGTTACGTGGCCTAGGGTCGGCACTGTGTGATTGGGCCAAAATGACAATGGACTTTTATCAGGATGGTCAGACTTGCCATCTACAAGGGGTGCGACCCCCCGAGTCCCCAAGGTAATACTGTAGCTTCCATATTAAAGCCTCCAAGGATATTGGACAGCCCTTATTTATGCACTTAGGCATGCAGCCCACAGTTCCAACTTTAAACAATCAAGGCTGTGACCAACCCACGGAAGCCCAACAC